ATTCCCTTCAAACCTCATTTTTTTTAATAGTAATTAGAATATTGTTAGGCTTTTTATGCAGTTACTAGTAAAAAACGGGCGCAAGCTCATTTTAAACAATGGTTATGCAAGTTGTTAAAACAACGAAAGAAGCAAAAAGCACAAAAGAAATAAAGAAAAAGGGGAGAAAAAGATCTAATACAAAAGGTGGGGAGAAAAGAAGCCCAAATAGTTTAAAAAAAACCCCCAAAAGTAGGAAACAAAAAAGTTTCAGTTGTGGAAGGGAAAAAAACTCCTTGCGAAATGTTTCGCATGTCTCTCATGTGCAAAATGGTTCGCAAAACTAAGGGAGAAACTTAAATTCCGTTCACTTTGCGAGTTTAAATTGTGTGAGTTTGGACTTATATCTAGTTTTCTATAATTCGAATTGATGTTTAGTAGTATAAGATCTAAACAAGAAATAAAATTTGAAACAGTGTTTAGTTACATTGTTAGAACTATAGCCTAAATCCAAGTTCAAAAATTCATGCAATCAAACAAAGGGTTTGGATTGATATTTAGGTTGAAACTCATCATAACCCTCCAATCAAATAGGCTATTATTCTCTCTTAATAATGTAGCAAAGATACTTGGAATATTGGTTGCAAGCATGGATCCGATTAAAAGTGTGCCCCCACTGAAAAAAAGGTGTCCCTATTAAATTGGTCATTGTATTTCAAATTCTTAATTTTATCTTTCTTATTTATGCTCACGTTTAATGCTGTTTTTTTTTTTTTAAAGTAAAATCATGATGTCAACATGTACTCATCTTACTATTTTTACGTCTATAATTTTTCTTTTCTTGTTATTGCTGATTAGGTATTCTTAAGTACTCCCTCTTCTTATTTTTCTTTATGATTATATATTCATGCTCCCTAAATTTTGAGGTCAGTTCAACTTTTCCTCCTAAACTTTAAAAATTCTTTCTATACTATCCAAACTTCAAGGGCATGAATGTAAATAATCCTATTACAGCTCTTATTGTGTCTATTCTACATATTACACTTAAAAAAAAAAAAAAAAAAACTAAAAATTTAAGACGTGTTCTCCCTCTTCTTTATTTGATTTTACAAAACAACACCTTTATATTAAGTTACAAAACAAAACTAAAAACAAACTCTAGCCCTCTATTAAAAAAAAAGCCAAAGAAATTTTAGTGGGTATGATTATAATGGTTATTTATCAGTGTGTATTATTGTTTTAATCAGTTAATATTGATTACATAGTTGTAATAAATTAGATAGTTAACAAAAAATGTATAACAACTAATGAGATTAAGTTGTTATCACGCTAGATCATTAAATTTTATATTTGATTAGTAACTACCGATAAAAACGTAACATTAAAAACTCGTATATATATATATATATTCTTTCCTCCCATCTTCTTTTTCACTTGTTTCCTTTCCTCTCAATTACAACATACGTACTATTTTTATTTTGATATAATATAGGTGTATTTATAAATATTTAAAAAAAATGAAATTTGATATTGAACTAAAAAGATGATATTACTAAGAAGAATATTAGAAGCTTACCTTTTTATTATTTTAATTTATAAATTTAATATCTTTATTTCTTTGAGATAGTATAAATTTCGTTTTTATCTGTGTCCCACTAAAATCAAATCCTTGTTGTGTGACTAGAGATGGTGGAGAGATGTCAATTGACATTGTCTTCTTTGTATTCTCCTCATAAAAATATAAAAAAGTATTTTTCAATGCAAAATCTAACAACCATTGAATTTCATTCACCCAAAATCAGTTTCTTTGAAAACAACCACGCATTTATCAACCTAGTTTCCAAACTATTAGGATCACATATTTCAAACTATCCAACATAACCTCAACGCAGAGAAGAAGAAAAGCCCAATAATGTAACTGACTTTAATTTTGTTTCACTTTTCAAGGAGCCTACATTGTTGATTTGTTGCGAAATAGAGGGCTTAAATTTGTACCAATCATAGAAAATACCAGATTACGTGGGAAAACCAACTTCATAACCATTATCAAATTCTCCACATTCAACATCCAAACGTAATCAATTTGTAACAAAAAAGCAAACCGACTTTCACTATTTTTCATTTAATCTAGACAAGAACTCGTCTCATTACAGCATCAAGAACACATTTTTTAGCTTATTGGTTCAAAACTAAGGGACTTTGGTGGTGGGTAACTGCTGGAAGGGTGCCCGGGTTGGTGCCATGGGGTGGTGGCTCAAGCTTTAGTTCTCCCTGTGGCCTGTGTAATAAAAAGTGAACCGAATTAGTTTCGTTTCAAAACGTGTGTGCAAACTCTTTCAGATGTCATGCCTTTTTTCAATTGAATACTTGCAATCGGATATCAATAAAAAAAAAAAAAATACAAAAGTACTAACTTCCAAAACGTGCTCGCAATCTCTTACAAGCATCATGTGTTTTTTTATTGATTACTTGCTATCGGATGTCAAAAATTTTTCTTTTTTTAAAAACTAATAATTTCTTCCATTGTTAACTTTATTCTTGATTATTTGAATAGTACTTCGAAGTTCTACCCACAAATCTTTGAATAACACTGGGATTTCAAAACCAGCAAACCAAATCTTTGCCGTGAGAAAGTAGTTGTTGACAATATCAGAGGATTCAGGACTTCGCACGGGACTTGTTAGTTGGTTTTTCTCATATAATTTTTTCCTTTAAAATAAGAGAAAAGGGAGATAAATACCCATTAGAATACATGAGTTTGGATTTAAAATAAGAAAAAAAATGAGACAAATACACATTAGAATACATGAGTTTAGATTTTTAACTTTATTCTTGATTAATATCCTTTTTAGTCAAATAATTATATTAGTCAAAGGGTATTAATCAAGAGTAAATGGTAAATATAGATTCATGCACTCTAAAAGTAGGTTCAACAAAAATAAAGAGTTTAAAAAAATTAATTCCTTTTTTTTTATATTTTTATTGTTTAACAAATGCTATGAAAAAGGAAGTGAAGTCAAAAACTGGTGAGAATAATTTTTATTGCTAAAAAAATTGAAAATGACTGAAGGTTGTTTTCATATTTCTGTTTTTATATTCTACAACTATAAGTTGTTTTAGAAATATATCTAAAACTCAATTTGACTTTACCATTTTCAAAACACTATGGAAGGTGATGTACCATTACGTTCAGAACTTGATTTATAAAAGCCACCCTCAATAGCAGCAATACTAGTGCCAGCATCCCTGCCAATTTTACCTTGAAAAACTAGTAGATTGCGTAAACGTTGTATGTGTATGTGTGTGTGTATATATATATATATATCTATATTTTAATTGTTGAAGCTATATATATATATATATCTTACACACACATATATATCTTACATATTCACAGATCTCCTTGGCCTTTGCTCAGCAAAGCATCTCCTTTTGGCCTATTTTTTTTACTGCGCCAATTACTAATCTAAATGCCGAGTTAGAAACAATAGCTTATTAAAATGAGAAACCGAGATACACATGTTTCTACTCAGATTTTAAAATTTTAAGTACAATGGATTGCGTGAGCGTTACTTAAGCACGTTTATAAGTAATGAGCTCCTGAACCTTGGCAACACATATTATGTTAATTGTTGAATCTATATATTAAAGAATCTTTATATCTTTCAGAGACATATTTCTTGTTGCAAAAAGTCTCTCTTTTTGTACGACTATTTTCCTTTTTTATTTTTGGTAATTAGATTTGTGCTTTTTTTTAAAGAAAAGAATAAAACAAATATGGATTATTTCTTTCTCGAATTTTTTAGTAGAATTTTAAAATCAATTATTTTGCAAATTTATATTAAAAAGTGCTATACATGACAGTTTACGAAATCAGAGTATCATACTACTCAGATTTCTTCAATTTTTTTAAAGAAAAAAAAATGCTTCAACTTCAACTTGTGTAGGTTTAAGATTATACAAAAAAAAAAAAAAAAACAACAATTACAACAATCAAAATGAGAAACGCAAACTTAATGCCAATCCTTGGCAAAGACTCTCGACAAGTGCGCCTTCAAGCTTACTAGCTTATGTTTTCATCCATTACAATTTGACTTAATGAGGCACATGGAAACAAAATTTTATGTAAACCATTGCATAAGATAAAATTACATAGTATGCCATTACAATCCACAAATTTACATTTATAAATGCTCTTGCTATTTTTGTTGATTAAACAAAAAATTTTATATTCTATTACAATACTGTCTGAAAACAGGAGTCGGAAATCAGTCATTTTTGTCGAGAAGGAAAAAACAATATGCATGGTAGGATATTTTTAATATCTATCTAGATATTTTCTGGTAAGTTAAAATGGCATTTTTGAGTTAATGTCATTGGATAACATAAATATAAAATGATATGTTTTGAGTGGCATTTTTCTTTTTATTTCTTCCGAAACATAATGAATGAATAAGTGTTAAAAAAATGTATAGGTTCTATGAAACTCAAATGATTTGTTTTGTCCTAACTTTGTATCCTTACCTACTCCTATTTTAGTTTTATAATGTGTCAAGAAACTATTTTTGATTATTTCATTCTCTTTTCTTATAATTTGGGCAACTTCAAGTATTGTGTATCTCCATTAATCGTCTCTGAAAGCAAATCTCAACCCTCTGGTCATGATCAACAAAAGATATGAAACGAACCCCGGAACTATATCTTGACCACTCAAAATTTTTTTCCAAGTGGAAATCAAGAGCCCTGCACAAATGACCACTACGTGTGTTTGTCGTTTTGAAATACAATTTGTCTCTTGTTTGGTAAGAAAAGCGCTATTAGAGACTAATTCCACGCACCAAACTGGCAAAGTCACGTTCTCCAAATTAATTAGTAGTTGAAACCTGAAAGTTGAAAGTGGAAAAGGTTTTAGCTTCTTGCAAGGTATTAGTCAAGCACGTGATCACTCTTTATCTACCCTTTTTCCCTCCAATATAAATAGACCACTTTGTCACAACAATTTTCGTACCAAAACATTTTGTTTCATTACAAACTACCTTAACTAGCAGTTAGCAGCGGATCCATTTCCGCAGCTAAGGAAAAAAAAAAAAAAAAACATAAAGCACTAGATCCTCGGTGAATTCTTTGAAAAAAAAAAAAATGGTGACTGTCGAGGAAGTCTGCAGGGCTCAACGCGCTGAGGGCCCTGCCACCATCATGGCAATCGGGACGGCGAATCCACCCAATTGCTTCGACCAAAGGACTTATCCGGATTTCTATTTCCGTATTACTAACAGTGAGCATAAGACCGAGCTCAAGGAGAAGTTCAAGCGCATGTGTAAGTTCACTTTAATTCATTTCTCGTTTTATCATGATTATTAAGGGTTCAAATTTGTATGTTAATTTGTTGCTAAGATTCAAGCAAATTGGATATCATAAATGAATTGAACTGCTATGTTTGCTTGTAATATCGAATGGTCATTAGTGGTATATGAGCTGCCCTCGTATATAGTAGTAGGTCATTAATGAATAATGCTAAACATATAGGTTGGTCTTGGGATGACAATATACCTTTGCAAATGTGATTTGCCAAATTAATAGTTACTGTATAACGACATTGTATTTAAAATTAAATCATTTAAAGGTATAAGAAAATCACAATTCTCGCTAAGGTAATTTATTTTTGCATGCGTATCAATCATCAAAGTAAGAAATATATATTTTTAAGGTTAGTGAGAAACATATATTTTAAAGGTAATTGCACGTAACAAAGATATTAACTATATTAGGAGACGTTTTCATAAAAGAAAACGACAGATGACTTCCACTAATATTATTTCCTGTAAAAAAATTCCGTTTCTCATTTTCTTTGTTCACATTGAATTTGCAGGTGAGAAATCTCTGATCAAGAAGCGTTACATGTACTTGCATGAGGAGATCCTCAAGGAAAATCCCAACATTTGTGCTTACATGGCACCTTCATTGGATGCTAGGCAGGACATGGTGGTGGTGGAAGTGCCGAAATTAGGCAAAGAGGCTGCAACTAAGGCCATCAAGGAATGGGGCCAACCCAAATCCAAGATTACCCACTTAGTCTTCTGCACCACTAGTGGTGTTGATATGCCCGGAGCTGACTACCAACTCACTAAGCTATTGGGTCTTCGCCCCTCGGTGAAGCGCCTCATGATGTACCAACAAGGCTGCTTCGCTGGTGGCACGGTGCTCCGCCTTGCCAAGGACCTTGCTGAAAACAACAAGGGGGCCCGTGTGCTAGTCGTTTGCTCGGAGATCACCGCTGTTACCTTCCGTGGGCCTAGTGACACCCACCTTGACAGTCTTGTGGGTCAAGCCTTATTTGGTGATGGTGCAGCTGCTATGATCATCGGTGCAGATCCTATTCCTGAGGTTGAGAAGCCTATATTCCAATTGGTTTCAGCGGCCCAAACTATCCTACCCGATAGTGAGGGCGCCATCGATGGACATCTCCGAGAAGTCGGGCTTACGTTTCACCTCCTCAAGGATGTTCCCGGACTTATCTCAAAGAACATTGATAAGTCCTTAACTGAGGCATTCAAGCCTTTAGGCATCTCAGATTGGAACTCTATTTTCTGGATTGCGCACCCGGGTGGACCAGCCATTCTCGACCAAGTGGAGGCTAAGTGTGGCTTGAAGCCCGAGAAACTACGCGCCACAAGGCACGTGCTTAGCGAGTACGGTAACATGTCGAGTGCGTGTGTAGTGTTCATTTTGGACGAGATGAGGAGGAAGGGCGCTGAAGATGGCCTCAAGACCACAGGAGAAGGACTCGAATGGGGTGTTCTTTTCGGGTTTGGACCGGGGCTCACCGTTGAGACCGTGGTGCTCCACAGTGTAGCTATTTAGGGGTTTCGATCGGTTAACCCAATAAGTTTGTTTCTGCTTTTGTGCGGGGTCAATTTGTTTATTTGGGATTGCTTTATTTGGATGCTGCTGGGGAATCCATACTGAAATTGTCGACGTTAATATGTTTGCTAGCTCAATAGCTTGCAAAGCCGAAGCGAAACATATTGCAACTTAATTATTTTATATGATAAATGTGTCTTTTTAATCGATATGATTAATATATATATATATATGCTTGATAATATTATTTATTACCACAAACCACCCTATATATATATCTATAATCCTATATATGTATACATATTATATGCTTGTTGCAATTGTCAATGCATTTTTTAAGGCCCCATGTTTATAACCTCCATGTGTCTTGTTAAGGTACGAGTGGCTCTTTTTGTATGTATGGTATACTAATTCAATGAAAACTATTGCACACAGCACAACTGATTTTTTTTTTTTCCTTAATTTGTATTAATAATATCTTGCGTTTCCTTTCAATTTATTCTCTTGCTTAGATTCCCTGCTTCTGTTTAATTTTAATTTTATATTTAAGCATGCTTAAAAAAGTGTATTAGTTTAACTAAATTTTATATCTTCCTTTGTTCTGAATAATTTGGGATTTGGCTGACAGCCAGAGCTAGCTAGTTAGGGGTATTTGTAACATTCATAATTTACTGATCATGATATATGGGATTTACTTTTCAATTTCGAACTCCTATTTCGTTATCATAGCCAAACAACACTTGTATGATTATTCATGCTATTCCTATTCAATCTTTTTTTTTCCTGACCACAAAAATGAAAACAATACAAACACGTCAACATTTAAATTTTGCTTTTGAAAGGGTATATATGTAAAATATGTGTTGAGCTCATGAGCTTTGCAACGTTTAATATCCAGACATTCTTTTCCTTCTTACGCAAACTCAATTTAATGCCTAACCTTTCCTCAAAATAATAATTAAAAATAAACTATGCCTAACCTTCTTAGATAGTTGGGCAACTGATCGAATTGGTTGAAGGTAATACAAAAAGCACTTTCTTTCGTTTTTAACGTACATCTTTATTTTCCAAAATATTTATTTTAATCGTTAAGATAAATATAAATAAATTCAAATTGGATCTAGAATGTTAATAAGGTCTTTGTTAGAAAATATCCTTTGATGTAAAACATCTCTCAAAATTCAGAAAACATTTATGTTGGACCACTAAGAATCAATAGATTAATAAACGAAAGTGTACCTGAAACCATGACAATAAATTACTCTCTAGAGTCGTGTGATTTGTCTTCGAGAACAATACATTTTCCTAGAAAATCCTTTAGTTTTCTCACTGCTCTCTCTCTTTGATGATGGGATGCCAGAAAGAATAGAATCACCCGTGATCTGAGGACTATAACCACTATATATAAATAACTTCTCTGTTATTTTTTGGTATTTTTATTTTAGCCTATCATAAAAATAGAAATTACTTTTAATTCTCTACACATTAAAGGCCCACACTCTATCAAATACATTAAAGCCCAAATTACATAAACCTTAGCATATTATTTTTAAACGAGTTTAACCTTATATGACAGACTGTAACACATAATTATTCACATATAAATCTAATGTTGGATTAAGGATCCAACAGTCTTTGCTAATCATGTTCAAAAATTAGGTTGTGATAGGCGAAAGTATATTTGGAATTAAAATACTGACACGTGGTGCGTTTCAATAGGGAATGTGCCATAGGCCACTACCACCTTGGGAGCTAGAGATTTTTGAGTCTCTAGGGTTTAAGAATTTTCCCAATCCTAGTTGTATAACAAAAGCTATCAATAGACCCTTGGAAGTGTTTACTGGCGTAGATCTTTTTGCAATCTTACCTTTTGACAACTTATAGTTCGTTTAGTTCATAAATTTAAATAGAAAAATTTAAATATAAATATAAATTTTATTAGAAAAAACATTGTAATAAAAAGATTTAAATAGTAGTTTAAACGTATAAAACAAACCCATAATAAGAAAATTATAGTTAGGATTAATTGGAAGGAGAATTGATAAATTTACGCAAAATTTAACCCGTGCCTGGATACCAATTAATTCAAAAAGGGAACAACAAGAAACATCGATAATTTAAAAACGTTTAATCATAACAAAGTTGTTTTCCCAAACAAATACGAACAAATTTATTCGATAAACAATTATATTATATAGCAACATGAGATACCGAGAATAATATCCTTAAGTAAGACAAATTATTAAGCAAGAGTTTAGAGGCTCTAATATTTAAGTGTTTGATAACACTTGGCTAATTCCTAGGAAAACCTAAAATGAAGAGTTATGTAGCGGTCTTAGATACGCTATTTGAAGGGAACGAATTTCTGATGTGGGGGAAGTTATCTCACAAACCCTTTGGCCAGTGGTTGGGGACTTATTTCTGAGTATTATCCTTAAAGTTAAAAAAAAAAAAAAAAAAAAAAAACTAAAAATTATGTTAAATCAATATAGCAACAGGGAGACAGTTTTTGAATAAATACTAAATCTTAGCACTATAATCTAACAATACATAAAAGAGCCAAAACTCTTTTATATCAGGCTGCCACGTAGCTATTTAAAGGGAATTTTCAAGTTTTTTTTATTTTTTATTTTTGGTTTTTTGGTTTGTTTTTCTGAAGCTGCAAGCGGGAAACGTTATTGGTCTTGTCGTGTCATGTCTTGTGAAATTTGATTGCGCACATACTAGCAAAGCCAAAATGAATAATGTAACAATTCGTTATACTTTGCTCCAAGAATTGTATTTCAACGGGTTGGAACTCCACAATCATTTTCTCTACGAATGTTAGTTGGATACCTAATTATGCTAACGACATCCTCTTACGTACGTAGTCAATGATCTTTTGATGCTTCAAGATTATCGTCTCAAATAAACTCATTCTCGAGTTTTTTTTTTTTTTTTTTTTTTTTTTTTTTTTTTTTTTAAAAAATCATTCTTATTTAAGTGCTTATAATTCACATTTCCCACTCAAGTCCTAGAAAAAGAATTGAAAATTCCTTTCAAAAAAAAAAAAAAAAAAAGGAATTGAAAAGTCAACTTAACTAGGAAACGCATAAAAGGGTTAGGGATCTGTGTTGAAGGCAATATATAACAGTCCTCCATGTTTATAACGTTTCAGTAATTTTGTTAATTTATGGCTCTCAATATTTTATGGTTCTTTATATGTATGTTGTATAATGGTGTAATTGTTCTCCTATATTGATCAATGTGTAACAATTGTTTTCATGATATTTCTTTCCCCTGTTCTTTCCGAACATAAATTAAGTTGTGGAACTTAATTATTACCTTGATGATAATTGTATTACTTCGACCTTGTAAACGTTTTCTTTGATTGCAACAAATTAGATTAAATGTAGTCTTATATTAAAGTGAACCTCTTTAACTTTTGTGTTTTTTTACTTAATTTTTTTCAACAATTTTATTGCTCTCAATAATAAATAAGAGTGTCTAATTCTTAAGTTCATAAGTAGGTGGCTAACCTATGGCTATATAGTACTCTTCGTTTACTAATGCATCCTAGTTATTTTGATCAATTTGTAGTTGCGAATTTTTTTTTTTTTTTTTCTCTTTGAACTGAGTGAATTCTTTTGTTAAGCCTAATAAATTCATGTTCACGAATAAAATTTAAAACATTTTATCGGCCTTAAAAAAAGCAAATAACATATATGGAAATTACACGTGCGTATACATTAATATATGACGTCGTAAACTTGGCATATGTAATTTTATTTTTTGACCTTTGTTATTATTTTTTTTTTTTTTGAGGGATTCTGGCTCTTCTTGACACAACAAAATTTGAGTTCCGTATAATAATAAATCGTCTTAGCTAGGTAGTAGCTAGTTAGGCAACGCATCGTTCAAAATCAAGCAACAATTTTGCAAAACTATTTTCCCTTTATGTATATACATATATGGGTGGTTCTATTCACACGCACATTTTTACTCTCTGTATCCACTTTTAACTAAAATTTCTTATTCTGAAAACACCCACACATAAAATAATAAAAAAAGATAATTATGTTAGACTTAATTACATAATTAAATTTTAATATAAAAAGAAAACTAATGATATTATTTTTTTTCTCTCAACAACCCCACATATCATATCCTTCATTTTAAACTGTTACTATTATGCAATCAATAACAAAACTATAATTTTCACCTTTAAATAGATATTTCAAAGAGTTGCATAGAAATATATTAAATTTTTTTTGATAATTTTGTTTGAATATTGATTTTTTTTCATTTTTATAATCTGATTGATTTTTTTTTTCGTCTTATTCTTTTCTATCTCTCTCTCTCTCTCTCTCTCTGTTTTTTTTTTTTTTTTTTTTTTTTGCGGTTTACCAATACCAAGCTTGCACTTTCCCTATTCATTTACGTTAATTTATATAACATAGTTATGGTTCTTTTTTTTTGTTTACTTCTTTTTAGTTTAGAGTTTTTTCGTTTTGAGTGAACAAAATTAATATAAAATAATAAAAATAGATGTAATATTAGAATAGCAAATTAAAGGTGGGGGTAAAAAAAAAAAGGTGTTAAGAATTAATAATCTTATGAAAATAGTTAGGGATAAGTTTGAAATAATAAAAGTGTGTAAAAAATAAATTTAATCATTTAAAAATTATATGAGATGTGCATTTAAAAATGAGTGTGGAAAATAAAAATAGTAGTATGAACAGAACTACCTTATATATATATTTCACTCTAATGATTATATATATTATTTAATTATGATGTCAGATTATTCAGTTTTGACACATCAACCTTTAAAAAAGAAAAAAGAAAATCAACATTCTGAAGAAAGATGATGAACAAGGAATCAAAAAGAAAAAAAAAAAAAAACAAAATAATGAAAAAGATGATGCGCACGTTTTATGTTTGTCCCTGTGAAAGGGTCTTTACATGTTTACTACATTTTGTACTCATTAAAATAAGGATTTTTAGTTGAAGTCACGTGGCAATCCCATTACCCCCAAAACCAAAATATAAGCCGTAGTTTTCCAACTATCATGACCATCCCATTTTTATCAACTTTAAATTTATAAGCTGTGAATTCACATGATATCCTGCCAATATTGACCATCCATTTTTCTCACAAAAGAAGAAAAATGAAAGTCAATAAATTTCATCATTATTAGACTCATTAATTT